GTCCTCGATTAGGCCGTTACTTATATTTTTTCGTTCTGCGTTCTAAGCGAAAAGTGAATTTTATTTTCTTTGTTGCTTCCAGTGAAACGAAAAGGGCGCAGTCGTGACGATGAAGGACGCCGTCTGTCCGCGGTGCTTCAGACCTGTTTTCGCGACTGTGTCGACCTTGATGCGCTCTGCATTGTTGCCTGGGAACGTGTCTTTGCTATTCGGGTGGACCTGCGCGCACTTGCCTCTGATGGAAATCTGGGAGACTGTGGGGCCCTAGCTGCTGTGGTCGCACTGGCTTCATTCAGGCGGCCTGATGTCTACGTCGGTGATGAAGGACGGGTATGAATTCACTCTAATCAGTTGCTTGCTGTCTACTAACTACTTGCGACCCCGTAAGGTCCTTCTTTTCTGTATTTTACGATCTCGCGTATGTGCTGTGTCTGATCTAGCCAAACCCAGACAGATCGCGTTTCTATTCGCGGCGCTAAAATAGTCACTGTGCTTGAAGTGCGGATACTGCCTCGCTTGTGAAAGAGATACAGTTGTGATGGTTTTATGCGCTTCAGAATTCACGGTTTATCATTGTGACGTCACTTATTCCAACTCATTGGTCGCGACTGCTCCTATCCACATCGTATTGAAAGTCCTTGTTAAGGCATTAAAGGGCAGAAGTGGCTAGGCGCTAGTCGTATTCCAGGTGGAAATACAAATTATAATTCGTATGAACTGGAAAACATGCATCCCCAGAAATTTTACTTTGAAGAAGATGTTCTTCGGGATATAAAGGTAACTTTAATTAGTGGATTTCTGAGTCTGGTGCCCGAAGACGAACGGGGGCACCAGACTCGAAAATTCACTAATTAAAGTTACCTTTATATCCAAAAGAACATCTTCAAACAAATTATGACGTATCATGCACTTTATGGGCCAACCTTTACATGTGAGATGATTGGTTATTTATTTAAAACTTAGTGCTTATGGTTCTCTATTCGCAGGTGGACCGATTTTACTGAACTGTGTCTATTTGCGTTCAAAATTGTGTTCTTTGTGCTTCCTCATGACAGCCTTCTCTCTCCAAGCAAATGTTCTCTGTCCTCGTATGATAAAAAGCCAAAACGCCAGACGTTTAGACGGTTGGTTGTTAAGCTGGCTTACGGTCATTGGCATTGCTATTGCCAATGGGTACGTTTTGAGGAAGAATGCACATTTAAAAAAGCATATTACGAAAACACATTAAGCAGTAGTTCAATTAACTACTACAATATGGCCAACTTACCCATAGTTGACTGTTTCGTTAATTTTCTGTTCAATTCTAGCTGCGTTAACTTGCAACACCACACCCTCCCATCAATGATCTCAACAAGAAGAGTCAGCGTCTTTAGCACTTTGCCTAAGATCGCCCACCGCAATTTATTGAGCCTCTGTGTTAGCAAAGATTAAGTGCGGAATGTCGATCAACTGGGATACCAGAAGAAGTGGCCACTTTATTCTGTGCTGTTTATCTCTGTGTGTCGCCAACATCCGTAAGGGTTGTTTAACATTGTGACCGTCGTAGGGGAGACGGTTTAGCGTGCGGTTTATCTTTCGTTACATTTGGAATGAAAACAGCTGCTACACAAGAGTCTCGCATCTGTTAGGCTCCATCTGCTTTAAGAGGCTCTGTGAGACCGATCGTCAAGCAAGTTTGCTGTGATTGGCGCGTCATGAGAAGCGAATTCGAGTCCTCTGTACAAGTTTTAAATCTTCTGTTAG